CTTAGCTGAAGTTCTTCTATTCTTTCATATCTAAAGAGGACAGCAATCTCTGTTCTATCAGATCGTGCGGCTCGTGCTTTAAATGGTACTTGCTGCCAGCTTGCTTTCCCTGTCTCTCTCCCTTTGAAGCAGACTGGACAGCTTCCTCAAGCTGGCGTTATCACTCCCTCTAACCACTCTTGGCAGGCAATCTAATTCCCCCTGAAAAGGTCACCGCCATTTTAACTGCCTTTCAATCACATTAAGCACGCTGCCGCTCGTGCTCAGAGCACTGCGCCTGCAGCTCTCCTGACTGAGGTGCGATCGATAAACTGACATCCCGTCCCCCCACCCCATCCGCTTCTCGCCTTCTTCCCCTCTCCTGGACAAGCCCAGAATGGAGGGCAAGAAACCAAGTGACCAAATCCTCTCCTCAAATCCAAAGCAACAGAAGGGAGCTGCTAACCTGGCATTTACTAATCTTTGTCCCATCTGCTAAGAAACAGAAGGGTGCAAGCATCCCCCCCGCCTTCCCTAGACCTACAGAGGCAGCGACTTCACAGGACCGTTTGCTTAGGCACCGATCCGGACACCTTTGAAGCTGTGTTACAAAGACCCAGCCTCCCTCAAGCTTCCCTCAATGCAATCATTACTGTTATCTCTCCCCCCCCCCCCTTTTTTCTGCAGTTACGAGTTATGTGTTCCACCCATCGATCCCTGTGTAAGACACTGTTTTAAGTCCTCTTGCCTTTTGACTGTGCTAAGCCGTTTAAGAGATGACAGCGGCTTCTATCAGTGCGAAGCTGATGTGATTCTTTTCAGATAAAGCACTTTTTTTTTTCACTCCCCCCTCCCTTTCCCTTCTTTCAAGTAAGAGACATACACACAAAAAGAGACACTGAATCTTTCAAAGGGGAAAAAAAACCCTTTTGAACTTCCCTCAGGAATTCTTTAAAAGGATAACCTTACAGTGTAAACACTGAGGGTAACGTGCATCCATTCTGGAGAGGAACAGAAGAATTGCTACAAATATGTTGAGCATTAAAAGAAAACATCAGAGAGGAAGCCACTTGATGCTTTCACTTGCGAAGCCTTGCTGGCTTCCTAAACACAGAAACTCATTAGACAAAGATGGCATGAAATAATCCTCTGCAACAAAGAGCTTCAGAGAGGGATGACTCAGAGACATGGGGATAGATGGTTACTGAATGTTCAGGTTATTTCAAGAGAAATTTTAGTCTTGTGACACTGGACTGAGACAGGGAAATATTTCATTATTATAACTGTATAGCTTTTCACTTTGAAGCACAAGCTTGATTCAAGCAGCACCTGGTATTTCATGCTGGTAGCCTTCTGCACCTATCCTAAACAGAAGCAAGAACTCTCCTACTACAAACCCCTACTTCAAGTAGAACCTCTGCTGAAACAAAGTGGTTTCAAATCCTAGATAACTGCCAATAATCTTCATTTACACCCTGCATTCTTCCAGTTTTGGGTCAGCAGATTAAGTGATAGGAAATTATCTTTTAAGAAGCCAGGAGGACAGGTAGATGTACCAAGTATTTCCTGACTGAATGCCTCCATCAAACCCAACAGCTTAAGAAACAACATACTGATCCCTGCACTTCTCAGTTACGCCATGCTCCTGCTTGCTGCCATCTCCTGTCCTTTCCACCTGCTGCCTCAAGTATGCCAAACCGTGTGCTTTGGCTCTGCTTCCCTAGACCTGACTGAGGATTTGCAGCTCTAATACAAACAACAGAATTTCCACCTTGTAAGCCAGCCCCATAGGTGACAGGAGCAAGATTTCCCTGCGAGTGCTTTGGAAGCAAGAAAAAGCCATCCTAGGAACCACATAAGTGAGAGTTTCAGCCTGTGATTGCTCCTAAGGATTAGACCACCTTCCAAAACATCTGAGCAGGGCTCTTCATTTCTCTGACCTTCCTGTTTTCAAGAAGAAAAAAAAACCCAACCTTATCCCACATGAGAGCCTGGCAAGATCTTTCATATAATTAGCAAAGAGTTTGCCTCACTTTGAGAGCGATATGAACTTTGTACATTAATGAGAAGTGATAAAAAGAAGAAGCCAGGACCTGTGTTAAGTTTGAGTCACTTCTGCAATGCTGCCCAACGGTCTGGCCGATTCATGTGATACATGCTGGCCACCGCATCCTGCTCCCCCTTTGCCCAGCTGTGACATCTCCTCAAAGCAACACACCATTAAAACCAAAATTAATGAGACACACGGCCATCTATTTTCCCCTCCGGTTTTATGTATTTCCCCATGTCATCTCTTTAGACACCGGTGACATCGCTGCAGCCTGGCAAAGGCTGTCTGGCATTATAAAAGGCCTTCGATTTCCACATCGCTGCTACTTCACAGCAAAGGGAACAGAGCCAAATACAAAGCCCCGGGTGACAGGGGTTAACGAGGGCCTTGCCAACTCCAGACAAAGCAGTTTTAAGCATTGGAAAGCATCTCCAAAACGTTGTGCTGTGCTTCCGGGCTTTAAATTAAGAATTCTGTCCCTAAAACAAGGCAAGAGCCAACACTGGCAGAGAAAGGGACAGTCACCTTTAAGGTTACCTGAGAGTGCACAAAGCAGGCCTGACTGATGGAGACCTCTCAATGCCAGCAGCCAGAGACAATACGAAAACCACAAAAGGGAGCATAAAAATGTGTGACTTGCTTAAACAGAAACAAGCAGCAATCAGCGAACTACAGGAGATTCCAGCTTTGCTATGGCAAATATTACAGAAACTTCTTGCAGAGTAGGTAGGTACCTTGCAGATATTAACTGGTCATCCCAAAATACTAGGTAGAAAGTTGGTGGCACAAAGCTCCCCTGTTTAGGGAAGAGGACACCTCTCTAGAGGTCCTCTGCTGTTGAATCTGTCCTAGCTGTTGAATCCAGCTGCCAGCAGAGGTGTGCTCCAGAGGAGGAACGGCAGAGAGAACCATATGCACTAGGGACCTGCCAGCCCCTCAGGTGGAGTCATCTCTTCAGCAGTGGCTCTGCTACCAAAAGCAGCACAAGGAGGATGTTCCTCACGACAAATGCTACCAGGAGGTTCCTGCGCTTGCAAGCTGATCTACAGACACCTTTCATCCAGCACCACAAAGGGAAAGTGTCTAATCCAAAAGCCTTCTCATCAGGGTAATTACAGAGGGTTTTTGAACCACATCTAGTTGTGCTCTACTCTTCTGCTAGTCTTCTGATACCCCACACTTCCTGATGGAAGCAGGGCTATTTCTAACTATGAAACACAGAAATACCTGTCCGTGCACGGTGCAGCCATCTAGCTTAGGTTACAGCCCTGACTGATGCTAGAACCTGTCTAACTTCTGGTGGAGGAAAGCAGCTGATCTATACAACACAAACTAACCCTTTTGAGAATTCCTTAAAATAAGGAAGAAAACACAAAAAGGAGCAAGTACTTTGAATTTACACAGCCTAATCACATCAATTAGACATTTTAACCACCTGAAGCTTCATCTGAAAGAGCATCTCCATATAGTAGAAGCAATATGAAAGCTTCAGATCACACTTTTCACTTAACTCAAAACCATCTGGGAACATTAACTAGGTGAAGGCAGCACAATATCAATACCAAAGCAGGCGGAATATTGTGCTTTCAAACTCAGATGTTTATTGGGGGTGAAGGAAGAAGCCATGAATGAGAAAAAAGGGGCAGAAATTAACTAAGTAGCTTTATCTAATCAGGACTAGCAGTGACAACAATAGGGGCATGCAGACGTCCCATGCTTCACTATGGATTATAGTGACTGTACTGCCAAACATGGTCTAAGACCTTGCATGGTCTCATCAGGTCATGTACAGATGCAACTTTCCATGTGGGTACAAAAAACAGTTAAGGTAGATACGGCTACAGACACAGCGAGTGACAGCGTGAGCTTCACTGGGAAGCCTTTAAAACCCAAAGAAGCTGCTCCTGCACCTCTGTGCTCCTGATCATCTGCTCTGCTACAACCCAGCTACAATTTAATTTCAGAGGAAGGTAAGAGCAGATCAGGAGTGCCAGGCTGTCACTGAGCACACAGCTGGCTTTTAAGTCCAACTCCTTATGTAGTAGCCTTTCCTCTTGAGATATTTTAAATTAAAATCCAAGCTGATATAAGAAGAGATCACATCCCATCCTCTTTATTGAACCGAGGGAGCCAGCGTTCCTCCTCTCATTAGGCATGCGCTACGTGGATTGCTTGCAAGAGACTCTCCTTAGTGCCAGAGGTTCATGCCAATGAACAGTTTAGTAAATCCTCCTCTTCGAGGCCAAAGGGCTGAGTGTAAGAAAGGGGCCAGCTTTCTAGCTAAAATTACATTCACCAATAAAGCTCACGAGAGGTCAAATTTTGCCATAACTCACTCTCTCCACAGTAACTGATTTCCCCGTCACTGGGGAAGGAGCAGAAGAAGGAGGAAAAATAAAATGTGTTTGTCTGGGAGCCCTAAGGGCTTGCAGTGCTGCAGGTGCAGAGCAGGTTCCTGGATTCTCATTTATCAACCTTAAAAGGGATGGAGTGATAAATGCACAACTGGCCCTTTAATATTTTATGCAGGTGCTAAAGCGACTTAGCTGTCACCTTCAATACATCACCAGAGGCCGATACACCAGCTTTCGTCACTCCAGGCTGGGAATTTTTACAGTTTCATTTCTATTTCCCTCTCTTCATATATTTCCACCTATTTCTTACTATGTGTAACATGTAAGAAGCTATTTTCCCCAAATGATCTCCCCATTCTATCCATTCCTACTCATTCCCTCTTCAGACACATTTCTCAAGCAAGAAATAGCACCACGCTTTTTGTTCAACATTTGCACAAATTTTGACTCTCATCATTCAAGAGAGGCAGAAAGCTGGAATCAGTTTACATTCTGGCAAAGGCTGAAGGTCCCACCCTTTGTGAAAGGCGAATCTCTAGCTCCCTCCCTTTAAAGACAGGCAATGATCAATTTCCACAGTAGAATAATTTACAAGGGCCCCCAAAACACTAGCGCACCTCGAAATCCTCCCTCTAGGAGAGTAGTAGCCCGTATCCTCTTCTGCCCACACCATTCATACTCTTCGAATCGGTTGCCGTTCTCGTTCTCAATGTCCACAGAGTCATCCTCAGTCATGCATGAACCTTCTCTCTGCAAAGGGTAAAGCAGAGGCATATTGTTGAGATGCAGGAAATAGCTCTTTGGGGTTAACAACTCATGGTGGAATGGAGAAGAAAAGCTGGACTGCTCCCAAGTACAGAGTGGACAGCAGACATCTACTCCCACTCCCATTCCCAATGATCTCAATCTAGAAGTAAATGGGTGCTGGAAGAACGTGACAACCTTAAGATTAAAACAAGTTGAGAGGTTCACGATATTTACACATGGAAGTTTAAGCTCTGGTTCCTACACCAATGCTGGTGTGCATTTCAACATGCATTCCCCTGCCTTTCATGCACAACAACCCTGCCATGTAAAGTACAAATTCCTTTGATCCCCAGCAGGAATGTCCTCCTATAGCATAATTTTTGGGGCACACTGATCAAAAGACCCCACTCTTTACACCATGCACCTCTTGAGGCAACGAGCGTGAATATGTTTTTATCTCTATTGTGGGCTTTTCCTGAGAAACAAGCACAGAAAGCCCTATGACAACTCTCTCCCTCCCCTAGGGCTCGTTCTTTCCTTTCAATCTTTGGGATGAACAGCAAGAGAATGGCTCTGTTCAAATGCACTTCCTGGAGTTAAGGTGGTCATGCAACATTTACAAATGCCAGTCTGTTACAAAAGAACCCAACAAAAAAATAATTTTAATATTGTTAAAGGCAGAGATCAGAAAGAAATCTTCCTGCTGTGCTACACAGGAAGCATGAAGTCCTACAAAAGGCATCATAAACTTCAATAGCTCTACCTTCACAGCCTGCAACTCAAGACTTCAGTAACAGCGAAAGGGTGCATGAAGAAAGAAAGTTACTAATGCAACACAGGAGAAAAATCCAGAAAAATCCATCTTCCAAGACAAAGAGAAGTGACTACACAGCTCTTAGTGAGACAGTTAGTATTGCCTGCAAGCTCAGCAGTGTTAGTTTTTGCCCCGTGTTAGGTCAACTGCAGACAAAGCTGGGAGTAGGGAGAAGGGAATGGCAGCTGGCGATCCTGCTGCGCCTCTACCTTTGCAAGGCATTGTTCCACATGCCTACTCATCTCCTCCTCGGATCCTGACAGAGGTCGGCTGCAGAGGGGACATACCTGCCCTTCGTCTTGCTTCCTCCGTTTCATTTTTCCAATCCGAGCTGCATGGAGAAACCAGGAAAAGAAAACAAACAAAAAACAGGAAAGGAAGACATGTCAAGTTTGTAGTTCCACTCTGCTATTTGCTCAGCTCCAAATAAACCCTTAGCAGAAATGGTAAGATTTCACACCAGAAAACCCCTATTCTGACCTCTGTGAACAGTACAGTGTTACTTAGCACTTTCCGGATTAAATCTGTAACCCATGGCTGAGAACAGCCCAATTTCAGAAAGGCAGCTACTCATGATTTAATAACTAGGAGAGGAAATACCTGCTGCACATCCCAGGTAAGTTAGTCAAATGGTTAAATTCTTTCTCTTGGAAGCCTGAAATTGTCTTCAAAGTTGAGTGACCAAGCCACTGAATCCTGTTCTGGATTTTGCCTTCTAAGTCTTGAGCCCCATCCACTGACACATCTATTCCCTATGTAAGAACTTGCTTAGACTGCAGAAGGATGATGTAGCACCTGAAAAGCCCCGGAGAAGGTATTTAAGAGTCACTTCCAGGACCACCGAGTCTCCTGTACACCCTGAATAATTTCTTCCCAATCACAAGTCAGAGCAGCATCTCAGTAGCAGGTAACATTTACAGAGAGGAAAGATCTTTGCTTTGAAAAATGCAGCACCTATGCTCAATAGCTTCTGGCACTCTATTACTTTTATTTCACTATTTTCACACACAGGAAAACTGGGGGCTACACTGCCTTCTTGAGGGCATGCTCTGGGAAACTAACATGTCAGGAATCACAATGATTAGAAAAAGCAGCCAAGGTAGCCTGTTGCTTAATCCAATCTCTGGTTAATTTGAGCCATCGTTTAATGTGATCAAAACATCTGGAACCAAATCATTTGCATTAAAAAACTTCTGTCCTTTATTATGATGGCTTTAGGCAGGTATTACCGAATAACTCAATCACTGGCTGGAGGAAAGTCGCTGTTTAATTAATAAGGAAGGTCAAAATTCTGAATGAGAGACAAGGAAAAGCCCAAGGATAGCCCATGTGATAATGAGAGATGACACCACCAAAAAGCTGCGTTAGCCAGAAATCGTTACTGACATTGTGAGCACTGCAGCATGCTCTGAAAGCCTTCATGCCTGAATACTGAAGGATCAACAGCTCCCTGCAGCCAACAAGTCAGAGAAAGCTGCTGGAATGCCAGGAAGGGAAGGAACAGGGTACGTGAAAGTTTCTGCCAGTCACTGTTTTCTAAAGTACCTCAGTTTAGTGCATGCACATCACCAAGTGAATTATAAAGTTTCAGCTGAATACACTAACACAGACCTGAAAAGCCTCTTTTAAGGCTTTCTTTTTGCCTTCTCTGGACTCAGGACTCTATGGGTTAGGATACTCTTTCCCACAATCCAGAATGAGGAGTATTCAGCATCCCCTACACTCTCTGATGCTCCAGGATTAAGAAGGCTTCAAATTATTCCCTGGGCATTACTTTCCTTCACTGAACAAGACAGATTTGTGGAAAAATTCCCTGAAAAATAAAACTCCACTCCTGGCACCATGAAAAGGGTTCTGCAAAAGGGACATTCCTGAGATGCAACTCGAGATCAAAACAAGAGTGGTTTTGATACTTGGCACTTTGAACAAGAGACTCCCAAGTGAATACACACCACCTTCATCGCTTGTCTAGATTTTCTTTGCTGAAGCTCCGCAACCCTCCCTTTCATTGGGTACACCACACTGCCAGCTCCACAGCCCACCTGCCTCTCCCCACACATCAGGTACCTCAGCATTCCTACTGGGGTATTTTAGGTTTCCCTTCTAATTTTTCTGCTTGAATCTGTTATCTCTACTGTCAGCTCCTCCTTCAGAAAATAAACCACACGACTTCCAGTCAATACAGAAGCAAACATCATGAAGTATTATTGCTAATTTCATTGTGCCCAAATGAATTATGTTCTGCTTTAAATAAAACAATGACCCCTCAACATTTCTTGTGTGTTTTCTCTCCCCTTCCTGCACCCTTTCAACATCATTTGGCCCTGTTCAGAAGTAGTCAGAGTTAAGCCATGCTCTTTCTGGTTTGTACTTCAGTGCAGAAGGTTTCTCTCCAGTTCTGGTTTAGTGAATACCTGTATCCTCCAGTACGGCTCTTCTGTGTAAGTTTAAGGATGCTCTTTCCTTGGCTCACTAACTCTATAGAGCCAGCACAAAATAGAAGGCTGGAATCAGGTATGACTTGAGTATTCTCCAGCACTCATCTATCTGACCAGAGAAAAACACAGGAGCAAAGCCTCCTCTATGTTGATCACAGACACATCTTTCTCTTACCTCGTCTTGTTTTTAAACAGGGAAATGTAGGGAGGTAGCAGTTTAATTATTCTGGTAGGACTCTCCATGGCCAATCAATTCAGCTCAGTCAGTCTGCCTGGCAAGCTTATTGGTATTTTTAACTTTTTTACTGCTATCCTCTAGTCCATGTGCTCTAACAGTGACAAAAGGAAGATAACTTATTTTAGGTCTTGCACTGATAAATTCTTGGGACCATTTTGCCAGAACAAGCACCTGATCTGCTGTCAAAACATTATTGCAGAGCTGGGAACAGAACCTCACTCCGCTCCAGCTCCATGCAAGACTCAGCAGACAGCCCCTATTCTTGGCTCACTTAGCTCTGCCAAGAAGCAGCTCTTTCAGTTCTAGTGCCACAAGTTAAAAAGGCCACTGGAAGAAAGAGGTGTTGGAAACAAATCCCCTGCCATTTTCATTCTGTGGTCAGCAGCAGCAGCGTTGTGTCCATGGATGGTCAGGGTACCCCAGGTGACAGCAGAAACCAGGAGGGAATGCTGCAGCCTGGAAAGCACATCTGAAGCAGCGCTGTCCCTGCCCAACTCAACATGCAACCAGGCTATCACTTCCAATCAGTGCAGAAGGGACAGAGAGGCCCCAAAGGCAGGGGGTGATTGTGGTGCTGTCCCGAAGGGGAGCAGCTCAAAAGAACACGCAAGTGAGGCCACAGGATTGTTAATTAGTGTTGATAGATGCGATCATTTCTAATTAGCTCACTAATCCCTCTCCCTCTTGCTCCTGTCGCAGGAACACGGGGAGAAGGGGGAAAAAAAAAGAGCCATTCCCTCTTGTAATGCAGGAGGATAAAAATGCAGCCAGTGGGGGACTGGATGCAAGAAGAGGACGGAGCTCAGGGAAGGAGGTCTTCGCACAAGGCTGACCCTCAGCCCCTCATTCTTATCTGTAACTGAACAAAGACTCCATAGTTATTATTCCAGCCTTCTGCCAGGAGGTGAGGAGTTCACTCATTTTTATTAGCATTAATAATTATTATTAGGCCATCAGAGGGCTTCCAGCACGTCTGAGGCCTCACTTTTAACAGACGTACATTACCCTACACACTGCTCCTGCTGCACTTGCATGTTCTCCCTCAGGTTACACTAAAGCATCGGGCACCCAGGGAGTTTAAGTCATTACAACACATGAATGAGAAAGCAGCACATGATGGTGAGCAAGAATTAGGACCTTCTGCAGGGGCTGAGGCCTCAGTTGCAGTCTCTGACCTAACTCAGGAGCTGTGCTGGCTACAGGAGCTGCTCTTCCCTTTCCTAACATAGGGTCTTTTGGGACAGCACAAGGTGAGAAGCTGCTTTTGACACAAGAGGAAGAGCCAAATTGCACTTGACAGAGCCTCTGCTGCTGAGGGCACACTGGTCCCTGCCTTCCCATGGGTGCAGAGAGGAGCCAACCTTATGAGCAGAAGAGACCAAGGATCTTTTGTCACAACAGGCTCCCCACATCAAGGCTAAACCTAAAGATCATGTTATTCTCTAGCCCAGCAAAACTTCCCGAGAGAAAAGCTAATGGATGTTAGCTCTCACTAGTACTCCCCTCTCCTAGTAAAAATTCACCTTCAGGACATGGCATTAATTACCTCAGAAGTGCTCTTACACAGCATCTAGCAGTGGATACTATACAAACCTCTACCACAGCATCAAAGGAGATGATTAAGTTACTAGCAATATCTCTTATGATTCCCTCCACCAGTTTGAGTGGTCCCCCGAGTCCCATGCAGACATCATTAGCAGCTCCTGCAATGGCAGGCCAATCAAATTAAGTGGAAACATTTTTTGTCTCCTTTCCAGTGAAAACCATCTAGCTTTCTTCCACCCCACACCCATCAGCTACAACAGCACATGAAATGCTGGTGGTGGTTCAACAACAAAGTGCACCGTGGCCACCTCAATGGATGTCTGCCCAAAGGTAGGCTTATGGTCACCACCAAAACAGGAATCAGCTTCTCAGGCAGGTACAAAAGGAGCTTTGTAAGGCCCTATTTTACAACTGCACTGAAAATGCCAACTTTGCAAATACCCCTAAATTTGCATTAAAGATATTCAAGCACAAGAGCTAGCACCTGCTCTCTACAAATCCACTGGAGGAGTCGTGAGGAGTGGTTATACCTATTTTTGTTAGGCCTATCACAAAAAACTTGTGTGGATGACCAACTTCTCCAAGAGCATGTGACCAAACGGAACAAAGGCAGCAATGGCAGAGCACAAAAAAATCTTAAGAACACGCTAAAGCAAAAAAACCCAGATGGTCAAGAATGAATGCGTTTCAGACCTCACGTACAATTTGCTGCTCATCTACCCAAGAGAGAATGTTAAGGGCAAAATTCACAGAAGGGTCTCAGTGGGACTTTCACATTTACATGGCCAAACTTCCCCACAGATGATTTTCTGCAGCCTTCTGACACTCTTCTCCAAGGTTGCCACATACTTAACCTGCTGAATCCATGTTCTGAAACACTAACCCGTAACATTGTGCCTCTAATTTGGAATGACTACCCAACCTGCTCTGCACTGCTGAACTTCATAAGCATCAATTTACAGGGTGGCTTAAAGTTTCCAGTTTGGCAACACTGGAAATAAGGCAAGTGAAAGAATTGCCTTCTTTCTCACATGGGTTCATAAGGAATCAACACCTCATACTCCAGGGTTCACAAGGACTCAACCTCTGCAGAGTGAGTTTAGCACAAGTGAGAGGTGTGGGTTTAACTCACTGAGGCTGACAGGGAAGTTCAGATAAAAACACTCAACCTAGAGTCTAACAGACAGAACATTAATCTCTTCCTCCAGAGCTTGCAAATGCATTCACCTTACTTACAGTTCAATTTAAGTCAAAGATTTGACTTACAGAATTAAAATTCTGGACTGTCAGGTACCTGTGAACCATGTAACCATCAGGACCTAATCATGTCACAGCCAGGCCAACAGGAGCCCACAGAAGGCATCTCTCTTTCTACCTTCTCTTTCCTAAGCTCTTGTTGCACTTTCCCAAGTGATTACAACAGGACTGAAGACATCAAGGAGATCTGACAGGGCTCAAGCAAAGCTGTGGGCAGCTGAGATTTGAGTCAAGGATGATGTGTGAGAAGAGCAAATACGCCCTTTTTTAGAGTTTTTTTTTTTTTCCAGATGTGATTCTGGAACTCAGCTGGGAAGAAGCTTGACAGACATACCAAGATAAACATGTTACAACAACATTCAAAAGTACACTTAAAACTTAATAAACCCAAATGAAGTAGATTTTTCTTTGACAGATAAGGCTGTATTTTCTACATCCTGAATTTCTTCAGTGCATCAATAAGAATATGAAACAAAAAGCCAGGTATCTTTGGACAAGTCCTTGTGCCAATGCAAACTAACCATTCTCACCAAGCAAGCTACAAAGCTGCATGATTGATCAGAAGCTCATTAAACCACAAGACAGTATCAAATAAGCATTTTTTCTTTTCCCAGAGCATTCAAGTGTTCTCCATCTAGAGCAACACTGCTTAAATAACTGTTTAACAATCATGTGGCAAAGCTTACGAGTACCACAAAGTTATTTTAGTGCAAAAAAAAAAAAAACACCCAAAAACACGTGGAGGAGAAAACAAGCAAGCAGGCTGAGTTCAGTAGTCACAAATAGAAAGTCACAGGCATAGAAAGGAGCAGTATAACCATTCAGCTGGATGTCAGTCCAAGGGCATAGGATATCATTACAGGTATGTTTTGAGGACAGCAGTAACAGAATCATAAAAAGCTAAAGTCAGGAGGAACTAGTTCTGTTCTAGTTTGACCTTCTTTGTGACCCAAAGCCAAGCACTTCAGCTGGTATCCCTGCATCCAGCTCCGTAACGTCTGAGCCTAGTACTGTCAGGGTGTACAACAGAAAGGACAGGAATATCAGCATTATAAAGGCATTATATAAATCAAACAAATGCCCTCATTAGTTGTGCTCACTGTACCCCAAAAGGTATATATAAAAGGAGTAAAAGGTTCAGCAAAAGCAATGCAAACGCTGTTCAAAACCAGCATCCCTTTAGATTATGAGCTCAGATTCACAAAAACATCCAAGAACAGGGTCCAAGAGGAGTGACTGTGCTGAAGCCCTATTTTGGGCTATAGTGGAAAGCATAAAGTACTACTGAGCCAGTTCAGCAGAGCATGCTGTCATCAAGAGCTTTCATTCATTCTGAAGGACTGCACAACACCAAGAACCTCACAAGCCTGGCTCAGATGTGGTTTTTTTTTGGTTTTGGGTTTTTTTTTTGGGGGGTATTTCTTTAATTTGAAATAAGGTAACTTCACATTGTTGGCTTGAAAAAAAGGTGGAAGGTGGGAGTTAACCCCATCTATCCAAAAATGATAAAGAAACAGTTTGACATGGCTGACTCCAGAGACCTCTGTCACACAAAACAAGTCACTGCAGAGCAATACCTCAGCATACTGCAGCCATCTAAAGTCTCTATTGTCTGGAACAGGACCTGCCAATGCTGGCAGCTCACTGCACTCATCTGGGAGCACAGATATGAGCACACCTACCAGCAGTTACCTGTAACTGAGGTAAAGCAACTCACCTCTTTGTTGTACGACTGAACAGGCTTCCAAGAGCTCACAGGTTTCTGGCCTTCTGGGCTTATATTTAAGAATCTGAACTCAGTTACGTATCATTTATCAAAGATCCTGGGTCATAATAATGCTCCTATTTGCTTCAGGCTACGCTAAACACATAGTACTTCAAATTCAAGCACCCTATTGTGCCACCAGCACACTCTAAAGCCTTTTGCTATTTTGTTAAAGTATCTCTATCTTCTTCTGAGTAAACCGCAGCAGCACAATGTCACCGGTGTTAGCTTAAACTGGGACAGCAGGAAGCTGTGATAACAATTAATAAACCTCCTATTAGCCTGAATAATCACATTTTGACTAAATGGTACTTATCAGACCAGCTCCAAGCAACACAAAATCAGATGCCAGAGTATTGTTACCATTTAAAGTGTAATTCTAAGTTCTCTGAACTCTGGGAAAAGAGTTTCAACTTCTTCAGCTCAAACAACAACAAAACAGTATACTTTCTGCTTTTGTTTTCTGATTTATGAGCACAAAGATGGGACTTTCTCTGAAATAAAGCGACCTCTGATTTGTTCTTCAAATATAAAAACATATTTTGCTAGGAACACTTTGTTGCCAGGAACACCCAGAAATACAAGAGCAAAAGTAACGCACAAGCATCAGTGGGTTTGAGAGGGAAAAAAAAAGCCACAACCAAAACATGACGTCAGATGCACGGACGCCCAGACTGCTGGTTTAAAAGTTTACTGCAAGATTCTGCCATATGAGCTATGAAAACATGGAAAGCTGGTCTAGAAAAGACGGGATGCTGGGCCCACTTTATAGCCTCACCGGTGGGATCCCGGGGGCTGCCTCCCGGGAAACCAGGATGAACGCGGAGGGTTTCCCCCTAACCCACCCTGTGCACCCTGTGCAGCAGCACGGCGAGGCCCCGGTGGGGCAGGCCGCAGCTCCCGGCCTTCGGAGGGGCTGGTTCACACCACTCGGCCCAGCTCTGTGAAGTTCTCCGGGCAGGGGCCGCCCTGCGGGGCGGGGGGAACGCGGGGCCGCACTCACCGTTCAGCCGGGTCTGCCGGTTCGCTCGCACCCGCAGGAAGGTCTGCAGAGGGGACACAAGAGCGGAAAACTGTCAGGGCCCGCGGGCGCCCAACGTAAACAACTCGACCCCCCCCCCGCCGGTAAACAACGCCGACCCGGCGCCCCCCCGCCCCGCGCATCATCGGGACAACGCAACAGCCCCGGGCCTGCACTACCCCCCCTTCCTTGGCCCCCAGCACGCACCTCTTCCCGGCCCCCGCCGCCGGGCCCCCTCCTGCCGCTCTGCATAGCCGCGGGCGGGCGGTGGGCAGGGGCCCCGGGGCGGAGCCCCCCGCACGGCCCGGGATGCGGGCGGATACGGCGAGACCCGGCAGGCGCCGCCGATCAGCCCCCTGCGGCCGCCGC